GTCTGTTCAGATCTTTTTCGTTTCAGGCCTTTAAAAATACATATATTTATTTATTATTTATAGAGTATTCTGCCTACATGCCAAAAGAGGGCACCAGATCTCATTATAGAGGGTTGTGAGCCACCATGTGGGTGCTGGGAATTGAACTTAGGGCCTCTGGAAGAACAGCACATGCTCTTAACCTCTGAGCCATCTCTCCAGCCCTCATTTCAGGTTTTAATTTTAGGTCTTTAATCCATTTTGAATAGGCTTTTGTTGTTATTTGCTTATTTGAGTTTTTGGGAAGTTTTGTTCTTTTTGTTTGGTTTTTACTGGATGAGAAAGATTGTGATTAAGTTTTAGCGTTTCCTATGTGGATGTCCATTTTCCCATGACCATTTATTGAAAGTGTTTCTTTTCTCCAGTGGACATTCCGGGAGATTTTAGTGGATGTTTCTGCCAGTGCTGTGGTATTTGATGAATTATGCCTCCAATTTTGTTCTTATCTGCTCAATATAGATTTGACTGTTCAGGGTTTTTTGTTTTTTTGGGTTTTTTTGTGTGTGTTCCAAAGGAACTATAGGATTATATTCTTCAGTCTTATAAAGACAGTTAACTTCTGGTGGGTATTTCATTAAGTCTCGGTATTCTTTTTGATAGAAAGGTCATTTAACAACATTAATTCTTCCTAAAAACCTGGGAGGTGTTATATTCGTGCCTTTTTCTTTCTTTTTTTTTTTTTTCCTTTCTTTTTTGTCATTTTCATTTCAGAGCTCTTTCACATCTTGGTTAAGTTTATTCCCACATATTTTATAGCTATTTGTAAATGGAATTGCTTTGTGGATTTCATTATCATCAAACTCGTTATTGACATAGAGAAAGATTAGATCCTGCTACTTTACTGAGTGTATCAGTTTTAACAGTTTCTTGAATTCTTCAGAGAAGAACCACATCATTTGTATACAGGATCAACTTGGCATTTTCCACTCCTATTTTCTTTCTTCTGTGTGTGGAGAACAGAGAAAAATTTTCAGAAGTTTCTCTCATTCTATGTGAGTCCTGGAAACCAAACTCAGGTCATTAGGCTTTCTTTTTTCACTCTTTTCATGTATGTTTCATTTATTTCTGCTCTGATCTTTCCCCTAGCTTTATGCAAGGCCTTGAGATGCATTTATTTTTCTTTCTTTCTTTCTTTCTTTCTTTCTTTCTTTCTTTCTTTCTTTCTTTCTTTCTTTCTTTCTTTCTAAATCATTGTTCTTTTAAATTCTTCTCTGGCATGTTTTTCTTCCATTTCAGTTTCCTTGGCATCTAGTCCTTGTTTTGAGAGGCCTTGTTATCTTTGTTTCTACATTTAAATTTGATCATTTTATAGATCAGGTTACTCTTGACAATGCAGCTTCTCAGGAAGCAGCTTTCTCCTGAAAGTATATCTTGGGTGTTGGTTTGTTACAGAGGCTTTTATTCTCATGGAGCACTGTATATTGGTATGGTCTCCCTGTAGTTTGACTCTGGTCAGTGAATTTGAATGTAGGGCAGGACAGAGGAACAAGAGTGGGGCCACTGCCATTCGCCTAGTGCTAATGCAGGCATCATTCAGCATAGATCACTCCCTGTACTGTGTTTCTACTCTGAAATGGGACTTAACGTATTATTTTAAATAATACTAAATAAACACTACTATTGAAGCTGGCTCTGCCACAGCAGCAGTGTAGGGCCTGAGCCCTTATCCTCAAACCAGTCAGTGGTGGGAGAGCAGCAGCTACTAGGAAGCCCACTCAAGGACACTCATCCCTTGTCAGATAGCCACAGGATCTGTGTTGGTGCCTGCACAACAGTGTGTACTGGGACCACTTACCCTAGCAGTGTGTGCCACAGGGTATGGTAGCAGCTGAGGCTGTGGAGTTACTTGGGGCCACCTCCCCACACGCCTCATCTGTGCTGCTTTTGAAGTGTTCATGCCTTCTGTCTCCAGCTGAAATAGTCTGCATTCTTCCCGAGGTTTCCATATGTAAGTGCTGTCCTTGCTTCTATTTTGAGCTGCTCAGAGTCAGTGTGTAGGTCTCTGAGATCCAACCACTGAGAGTTTCATCACACCCCAGAGTCTGTACCCAGCAGCTCTGTTGCTGTCACTATGCTTCAAAATGAATAGACTAAATTATACTCGGTAAGAACGTCATTTGGATTTTCATGAGAAAATGAGGAAGAAAGTTAACAGAAGGAAGATGAGGAGGGGGAGGAGGAGGAGGAGATGGCTCAAACAAAACAAAATCTAGGCAGGCATGGTGGCTCATGTCCATAATCCCAGCACTTGTGAGGTAGAAGGAAGAGGATCAGGAGTTCAACACAAGATGGGGCTCAGAACAAACAGCAACCAAAATGTTGAGAAACTTATGGACACTTGGAGGGGCCGGCGGCAAGGTTAGTTTTCTCTCTGGTAGACATTAGACTGCAGGCCAAGCAAAAGCCTCCACAGGAACAGTGCTGGTTCTGTACTGGACAGAAGAAAAGGACTTTTTTTTTTCATCATGCTTAAGCAGAAAGGAAAAGAGAAGGCAGGAAGTTTGTCAGGAAAAAAAATTGAACGTATTAACACATATTCAAACAGGAAAGAGAAAAGAAGGCATGGAATTAGGAGGTTACCGAAGTCTGTCTTATTGGTACCAGCTAATTATGGTAAACCCCCCAAGTATGAAAAGTTTATTAGGCTGAGAACCACCTTTTCCTTTCCAGTGCCTGGTATAAACTAGAACCTGTTGTCTCTACCAAAGGCACATCTGTGGACAGGAATATGGGCCAATTGTTTTTATGACACATGGAAGCAAGGTTACTTGGTGAACATATGCCCACATACCAACAGTACTGAAACTGATGGGCACATCAATGAAGTCTTCCAGGTTTGACAGCAGTTTCATGCAAATAACTCCTAATGATTATTAAAAACTACAAACCTATCATGAACTCTCTAAGTCAATTGAAGTAGAAGCTTGTAGCAGATACCACACACGCCAGCCTCGCAGAAGAGCTGTCTCTTGGAGGCTGTGATAAGTTAGGCGCAGCACTCCCCACTCCTGATGGGAGATGCTACTCCAGTCTACCCTCCTGTGTGCCCTCTGTTAAAGACTGCTACTGCATAGACACCACCATTGGCAGTGTGGGCCCAAATGCCCAAGAGGTGCAGAAGCAAAACTGTGACTACAGTTGGGGTTGAGAAAGACACCTGGGTAGCCTACAACTTTAAGTAGCCATTCAGTCTCCTACAGCAAAAACAAGGGTTCTTCTACATGAATCTGGTAAAATATAAGCATTGCCTTCATTTTTTTTTATTTCTGTTCCATTTCGAATTATATGTATGTGTGTCTATTTATGTGACTGCAGTAATCTTTTGAGTCCAGAAGGGGTTACAGGTAGTTATGAGCTACCTGATGTGGATGCAGAGAACTGAACCTTGATTTCTCTGCAAGTGCAGCAAGCACTCTTAACCACTGAGCTATCTTTTCAGACACTAACTTTCTGTGCCTTATACTCAGTTCATCTGAATTTAAACCTTATTGAGTCTATGGTTTTGTTTTTAAGTGTTATTCCATTCTTTCTGTTCTTCTGCCCTTGTCCTAATTTGAGTATCTCCCACCAATGTAGTTGTAAATAATAAATGAATGTTGGGCTATAATGTTTATTAATAGCCCTAAGATTATCATGGCAATATTATCTAACCCACTATCACAAATATGATACAGACACCTGTTAGATTTCATAATTGCCTTATTTACCTCAGGCCGGGCAGATATTTCACTTACACTGTCTCAATATCCTCACCATCCATCTCCCAGCCCCAATCCAGTACCCTCCACCTTAATCCTCCTCATCTGGTCTACCTTCCATCCATAATCCCATGGTACTTGCTTGTATATTTCATCTGGGCCTGTTCATGCCATTGTTGGAGTCCTTCCTCTCAGCCCACATGGTTTCTTCTCCACTCTAACCCATTGTGGCATCCTCCTTCTTCCTCTCTTCCCATCCATCTGTCTTCCATGATTCTCTTGTCCTCTACAAGCCTGGGAGGGAACCTTAGCCATGCCTACACCATTCTGACCTGACCACGTATAGGCATACCTATCAGGTATGTCTTAGGCAGGTTTACAAAACAAGGAGAGGTGTGACCAGATCTTGAGGACCAGTAACATGCATCAAATCGACCTCCAACATACCAAAATGTGTCTCTGCCCCTGTCCACATTCCTGCTCAGGCAACAGCCAGTGTTTGCAGTGGGGAGGTGCTCAGGACTGTCAGTGGTCAGATGGGAGGAACAAGAGAGTCCAATGGTTTGTTCAAGGAAAGCTATGCTCCACTGCCTCTACCATGCCTTTGTGATCTACTTGTCTCATCTGCATGTCCCATTGGTCCTAGCAGGGGTGTCCATGCTATTGGGGGCATTGTTTCCAAAGGAGGTATATAATGTGAAAAATCTCAAAAAAAAAAAAAAAAAGAGGCAATATGTGCTTTGCAATATTAAAACTGCCATGAGAGTAGAAATGTTCTTCTTTTCACTTCCCTCAGGCCACACTAGAAGCCTTGATGAATGGAGACCTCCCCCAAAACCAGGGCAGTCATGTTGACTCACCGCTTGCATTCTTTTCAAGCTGGGTTGTCTAGGCTTTCCTGTGTCTGGCACACCAAATTATTTAAATAGAGGAAACTCTATCGATTGGACCTCTCTGGCCACTCAGACCTGTATAAGCCTTCCTGGAGATGGACTCAGCCTTCCTCCAATGGCAGGCCACCTTGGAATATCTGCCTTCAAGGCTGTGTTTGATGAACAAAATGTCTTCCATGTAGGCTAAAAACATGACTGTGTTCTAATTTCAAAAAAGAAAATGACCTACCTATTACCAACCTTGGGGCTACCTGGACCCTGCGGGGCATCCAGATATGTCTGTGTTGAAAGAGTAAGGAACCATGGCTAATAGAGCAGCAGGAACTTTTTTCCTGAAGATTATTTTTCTTACCTGTTTCTCTCTTTATAGGAATTCAGAAATAGGCTTGGGAGTCATCTAAATTCAGCTTCAGACACCTGCGCTGCAACTCGGCATGACTCAGCGTATTCCAGAATGGTGCCTCAGATGTTCCAGCACGACTGTGTATTGAGGGTAGCTGCAGGCCTGGCTCTCATCACTCTTCTGTTTGCATTTCTAGCCAGAGTCTATGCTTACAGTGTAACTAAATGAAGCACCCATAAGGAGTAAGCTTCTAATTAAAATACTCAACAAACAGGAAATCAGCTACACCAGTTCTCAAGAGGTGGTCATCCGAACTGGTCACACTGCTTTGTCTGGACCCCCTTCCTAATGAGGCTCACCCTGTCTCACATTGAGCTGAGCCATTTGACCTCAAATGAGATCACAGCTTCTGGAACGTGTCTTTCTCATCAAACACCTTTTGACTTCTTTTTAGCAACAAATGCAAGTGGTCCTCCCTCTTTTTTTTTTTTTAATTACCAGTCATTAAGCTCCAACCTAAGTGCATAGTGACTCTCACCACCAGTGGTTCTGGCCATCTTTCCCTTGTGTGGAAGAACATCCAGCCCTTAATAAACATTCTTCATGCTGTGTTTGGAGGCCCTGTGCTACAAACATCTTTTTCAGAACAGATGTGTTCCCAGAAAGTTTATATAGAAACCTATTTTGGGAACCTGGACCCAAGTCTGCCACTTAAAGGACTCTTCCCAGCGTTTTAGAAAATGTGAAGAATCCATGCCTATGGTACCCACAAGCTTCCAAACACAGCCGACCAGACATGCTACATTTATGATTGTGACCCAACCCCATGAGTCTTTACTAACTGAAATGACTTCTTTCACAATAAATGGAATTGGTGCAATAAGCGAAGCCTGCGTTTATCAGAGTTTGAATGAATGATTTGGATTGGGTAGGTAGAAAGAAACCAAGTAAATGCCTTTAGGTTCGATAGGATTGTTTTCCTCTCTCAACCCATCCCCTCTGTCAGCTCTTCCTTATATGTGTCCCCTAAAAAGCCTATCCCAAAATGTAATGTCAGCAAAAAGAAAAAATGTGCATATGCAAATACTCACACATGAGCACTCATTACTAACATAAGTCTCCTGAACTGTCACATGCTTCTTGGAGGGATTCATTTTGTATTCAGGGTACCTACAAGCCTGGCTCTGCTTGTTCTTCTCTCTTGCTTTTCTTGGTCAAAGTCTATTCCTACAATGTAATGAAATGAAGCATCTGTAAGGAATAAGTTCCTAATTAAAACCTTCAATGAAAGGGAAAGCAACCAGCAAGTTCTCAAAGGGCAGCAAAAATCAGAGCTGGGGAAATGGACTAGTGGGTAAAGTGCTTGCCATGTAGGTGTAAGAACCTGCATCCAGATTCCCAGAACCCACAGAAAACCAGATGTCATATTGCATGCATCTATAATCCCGCTCCTGTGGCAGTATGGAGAAAGAAGTCCTAGAAACTCACAGGCCAAAGGCAGAAGGCAAGGACTAACGCTCAAGATTGGCCTCCGACCTTCATATGCATGTTTGAAATGTTCTCACCCCTACCATCACACACATCATATACAGTGGTTGCAGAAATGGGGAGTTGTAGCAGCTGGGGGGGGGAGCCTGCCACTGACAGCCTTTCTTGAACAGGCATGGCCATTGCTTTGATGATAAGCAGTGAGCGCCAGTGTGGTGCCTATTTAATAAGAACCTAGCAAACATCAGAACACTTTTCCAAGCCTAGAGCCATTCTATAGTGGACAGCAGAAAAGCTTTACACCTATAGCTTGTTGGAGGCAGGTTTCCTCTTTCTCTTCCCATCTCTCTTCTTCCTCATCCCCATCCCTTTCTTCCTCTCTAACCCTCTGCTTTCCTCTCTCCTAGTCTTCCCCTAATTTTTCCTGCCTCCGAGAGAATGACATACACAGACACTCATAATAACCCTCAAATGCTGCTTCCTCTGTTAGGACTCTCCACGACTGTGACTCCACCGTGTTCTTTGGTCTACAGTAGGACCAGCCAGGCCCTGTAGCAGAGAACTCTCACACACAGTGTTCATCACTCTGTTGGTCACCAGCTTGCATAGGGGACAGCAATGGCCTGGAAATCTAGCTTGCTCTTTCCTGTGACCTGCTGCTAGAGAGAGGAGAGAAGATTGTCCTATTCTACATTTGAGTCATTGAGAGGGTGTGGAAGCCTTTCAGGGATTCATGTCTGTGTGGCTGCAGCAGGTGTGGCTGGCACTGGAACTGATGCTTTCTGCCTTGCCTCTCCTGTCCAGGGAAGCTCTACTGCTTTTCCTTTGAAGCCAAGCAGCCTGCACGCATTCTTTAGCAGTGAATATTAAGTGCAAAAGTGCCATCTTTGGTCATCTGGATGAAAACGAACCAATACAGTTGGCCGTGTGCTAATCCCAGCCTTGTGGTGATGGTGGGCTTTGTGGCTGAATGAAATTTTCCTCATCCAGGGAACTTTCCAGATCCAGCTACGTGTACATCAATGAGCAAGAAATGAGCTACTGTGTAAGCTGCTGGGCCTTAATGTCTATCTCCGTATGACCCGACTCATACCAACAGTCTGCTAGGACAGGACTTGACCTGTGGGTTATGTCGCTCTTATAAGAAGGACATATAAGAAGAGATACACTACTGCAGTAAAAAGTCCTGTAAGAAATTTAGCTTGGATTTCCACAAAGTGAGGTACATTTTAAGCCCGCAACAGGAGGCCATTCAGACAGCTCCCACTATTAACTCCACCTCAGAAAACATAGCCGCTGTCCCTATCTCTAACACTGTCCGTCTAGAGATTTACACAAATGCAGCCAAACTATTTCATGTCTACCTTCTTTTGCTCAGCTTTGTGAAAATCATTCCAAGGGTCACATGTAGCAGTGACTCGTTGACATTTATTGCAGAATAGCCTTCTGCTATCCAAAAATACATTGTGTTTACCCATTCTATATTTGTCTCTGACCTTCTGCATTTTGAGGCATGCTAAGATGCCTTGACACACATAAATGTGTGCTGAACGTATGCTGAGGAGTTCAGAATTACCTCATCACAGTATCTGTTTGTGTTCAGCTATCCAGCTATCATAGACACTGACCTGATTGTACCTCTTCCCAGCTCACCAGCAGGTGGTAAGAAGCCAACTATCCTCCTGTGTTTTCTCTGTACCTTTGAGGTCTTCAGCAGACCTCTTGCTGTCAGCGGCTTATAGTGGTGCCCCCCCTTTTTTTAATAATAAGGATGTGGATAGCCCATTCACTATCAGAATGTGCTAGACACAAAGTGCGTCTTAACAGTGCTGTTCAGTTCTGAAGAAACAAATTGGCACAGGTATTGTTACCACATAACTGAGAAGATGATTAAGAACTCATAAGACTGCCTCACCCAAGAATACAGAGCTACTAAGAGAAGAGATGAAACTGGAGCACAGTCTAAATACAATGCCTCTGCCCAGAACTGGGCTGTCCTGCTCCCTCATCTCATCTTTGACCTCAGCTTGACCTGTGCCAACAAACACGTATCTGGGACCAACCATGAAGATGCTTGGGACCTAGGCGAGCCCAGCATTTATTCTGTGACATCCTACGCTAGGCCTTAAAGCACATACAAAATAAAAGTTTAGTTGTCAAGTTTTTTTTTCTTTACTCCCCTTGTTCTTTCCTCCTATTCCCTGCTTCACCAAACATGAAATGGCCCACCTGAGAGTGTGGAGATTTAGTAAAAACCATGCCCTATGCTGAGAAACTGTGTGAACGGATGTCAACACATGCTCCATCAACAGCCCTGCTCTCCCTGTCAACTTCAGTCCGGCCAGAGTTTTAGTGTATATAAGATGCCATGGATGGAAGGTTCAAGCGATAAGCGAAACTTTAAGAGGTTTGACATAAAACAAAAAGTCTAAAATGAAGAATGGGAGGGGGGAGGGAAGGGAAGTTATGGGAGAATGGAAAAAAGAAAAAAGGCTTTCTTTAGGCTTGAGCAAAGATGACATGCAATGCGGTAGATCTGTCAGTATCCTTGTTTGGAGAAACCATTCCACAGGCATGTCTGAAGAGCATGCAATGAAAATGAAGATGCATATCAAGAAGGCTCGCTTGATCCCCAGAGCACCCTACAAACCACAAGGAGGTCACAGAGGCGCCTTGGGTATTTTCAAGTTCTTGAAGGAAACAGCATTTATCAAATGTTAATGCAAACTGCTAGCTCACAACAGTTCCATTTGGGGGCCAGTGAGATGGTTCAGTGAGTACAGGCCTTTGCCACCACGCCAGATGACTTGACTATCATCTCCAGGGGACCCACAGGGAGAAGGAGAAACACAACCCCCAAAGTCATTCTCTGACTTCCACAAGTGCAGTGTGCTACACACAGCACACAAACACAAATGAGCTTTAAAAAAGTTCCGTTTCAACATTAATTTATGTGGTATACGATCCATTTGACACCATATCTTTGTAAGAACAGATTTTTGTCCATGGGTGTGACAAAAAGCAAATATCAAATGAGAATCAAGGCATGGCTAGGAAGGGAAGGAACACAGGGACCCTGGTTCAAGGCTTACGTGTGGTGTGCTGGCCAGCAGATGCACACCTCCATTGCTAAGTCACTGTGATGATTTTAACAGGAAGTAAGGATTTTTTTCATGCTACATACTTAAAAATAGTCCTTCTGAGATAGCACATGAGCGTGTATTAAGATCTACCAGTGCACTACATAGAACCTGTGGCTGTTTCTTCAGTCTGCCTGCACCATGATTCAGACCATTTGAGAACTTCTGCTGTGTTATATCACCTAAAATTTATTTTCAGTGTATTTAATCTGGGGTCCTAATTACTTCAAGTTATCTTATTGGTCCACCCATCTTTCTTTCTTTTTTTTTTCCTGAGTCTTCAATTCCATTTTATTTATTTTTCTTTTTTAATTATTTTTATTTTTATTAATTACAGTTTATTCTCTTTGTATCCCCCCTGTACCTCCCTCCCTTCTCCCCTCCCAATCCCACCCTCCCTCTTCCCCACCCGTGTTCCTCTCCCAGTCCAATGAAAAGGAAGGTCCTCTTCCACTTCCCTCTGAAATTGGAGGAGGGATAAAACAGGGAACAGGACAGGAGTCTACTACAGAGGGCCTCTGAAAGCCTCTACCCAGCAGGGTATCGAGGCAGATGTTGAGACTCATAGCTAAACTTTGGGAAGAGTACAGGGAATCTTATGAAAGAAGTGGGAGATAGTAAGACCTAGAAAGGACAGGAGCTCCACAAGGACAGCAACAGATCCTAAAAGTCTGGGCACAGGGGTCTTTTCTGAAACTGATACTCCAGCCAAGGACCACTCATGGAGATGGCCTGAAGCCCCTGCACGGAGGTAGCCTATGGTAGTTCAGTATCCAAGTGGCCTCCATTGTAATGGGGACAGGGACTGTCTCTGACATGAACTGCTTGGCCTGCTCTTTGATCACCTCCCTCCGAGGGGGGAGCAGCCTTACCAGGACAGAAGAAGACAATGCAACCAGTTCTGATGAGACCTGATAGGCTAGGGTCCACCCATCTTTACTACACTTCTTACAAAAGCAATAACAAAACAACAACAACAAAACCAGGGTCTTTCTACATAGCCTTAGCTGTCATGGAACTTACTTTGTAGACCAAAGTGACCTTGAACTCAGAGATCTGCCTGCTTCTGTCTCCTGGGTGCTGCAATTAAAGGCTTGTTCTAGTTTGCCCAGCCAGGAATACACTTGTTCTTAGCCCTCCATAGAACTTGATTTATAGGTTGTTGAAATTGCAAAGGATGACACAAGTCCTAGTGGTTTCCAGTATACATATGAAATAAAATACTGCATCTTTAAGTGGATGTGATGGTACA